ATGTACTTACTACTCGAAATAGTTTAGTTATATATAAAATACTCATCTTACTTTTCAATTTATTAATATAAATATAAAGAGAAAAAAAAAGGTTGAATAGAATTGTATAGATTATTTACAATTATTAATCAAAACTGTACAATCGATCTCAGTGTTACGGGAGCTGCCTTTAGGATTATATAGAAGTGTCTAAAGATCTCTTGAAATGGTTTAAATTAAACTTCAAATAGGAATTTAATAAGGTTATAACTAATTGTAATTCTTGTAATTATAATAATGAAACTAATAATTGTTCTTGAGTACGAAGCTCTACATATAAAGAAACTCTATTCCTTATATAGATCTTCATTCTTTGTAGAATTATAAAGCTTTGTTCTGCTTGAATCCTTTGAATCTCATAAATCTAAACATTTATTCTTTGATCCCCTAGATCCTCTAGGTCCATCACATGACCGTTTGGCCATGTGACGCGGTATGTTGAATACCGTCGTAACACTCCCTTATAGCTTAATAGAATTTCGTATAATAATAATAAAACTATTTTATAAAGAAAAAGTATTTAAAGAAAACCAATCATTATTTATTTCGAAAATAATTTTAATAATATCTTTAAATATTGAAAATTCAATACTTCAAATTCATGAATTACAAAGTTCTATATAAATAATTAAATAAATATCTATATAAGTTTTTATTCAATATTTAATTTTTAGAATAAAAATTCCTAGAATTTCATCATCTTATACAATCAATATCAATAACGAATATAATCAATTTTTTATAATTATACAAAATAATTAAGATTTAATAGAAGTATTTATTATAAAGAAATAATAAAAGGTATTAAATCTTATAATAGAATTTTATATAAAAAGAGTTATTATTATAAAAGGCTTACCATTTGAAGTTTTATAAATATAAGAAATTAATAATTTGATTATAAAAAATATATTTGAATTTATTAAATATAATCCTTTTGTATATATCAAAAGATTGTTTAATTCACATTTTATAAATAAAGTAAAAGGATATATAACAAATTTCTTATATAAAAAATTATGTTTGGTTATATAAGTGTATAATAATTCAGATAAAAAGTCAATTTTAATTCAAGCATTTATAATACAAAGATTAAGTTAAAGAATTATTATAGTTTTAATTCTTATATTAATAAGAATGAATATCAAATTAATAGTATAAGATATTATATAAATGTATATATAATCGAAAATACTATTAAATTAAATTATATTAATAAAACTTTTGAAAAAACTTTAGAATAAATACCTAGATAATATAATTATAATAGTTAAGAAATTATTATATGATATTATGAAAGTAGGGATTTATTAATAAATAATATGTTGAAAATATTATTAAAAAAAAACTTAATATGATAATATCTTTATATAACCCTTATTTATTTATTATTAATATAAAAGATGTACAATTTGGAATTATAAAAATGTAAATAGATGATATATTTATTTTAATAGATCAAGAATTTATAAATTTTGAGAATTCAGAACTTAAAAGTATAGATATTAAAGTAAAATCGAATAAATATCTAATATATAATTCATTTTTAATTTTTAATAATTATATTATACAATAAAATGAAAACTGTTTAATTCTTATATAAAAAGATTAAAAAAAGAAACTTATAAAAGTTATTAATTTTAAACAATATCATAAACAAAAAGCTTGAAATATATATATTACAACAATTTATTAATTAAAAGTATTATACAATTTATCTATCATTACATAATATTAAGGTATTTAATAAAAGATTTAAATAGTAAATAGAAAACCTTAATCAAGAACTTTTATTTATCCCCCTCATACAAAATTATATAAAACTATTTATTTTTATTAATAAAGATTTAAATAATCAAATAGGTTTTGTTATTATATTAGTAAATAAGGATATATCGGATAAGAATATATTTAAATTGATTAGGAATATTATATATTATAATAATACGAAAAGCAAAAGAGTTATATATAATATAATAGGAGATGTAGATATTAATTTTGTAATAAAATCAATCTTACAAATTATCACTTCTTAATTAAATTTATTTAATATTCCAATCATTATCTATACAGATTCGTACTTATTATATAAATGTCTTATCAAATTGAATATAACAAAAAAGAAGAGATTTATAATTAATATAATAGCATTACAATAATTATATATAAAAAAAAGAACTTATTAAAATTCAATAGATTGATAAACTTAACAATATTACCAATATAATAACAAAAGAAAATCCTAATAAAGTATTAGAAAGATTTATTAATATAAACACTCTTGTTATATATATTAAAGAATAAATAAAACAAAAGATATATACAAAAATTAATTAGATTTTCATACAAATATAAATTATAATTAAAAATAGAGTTAATAATATTTTATTTATTTTTATTTTTTTTACAATTTTTTTTCTTTTTGAAAAGTTTTTAATAAATAATTTAATTCCAAATTAGAAAAATATAAAGAAAACCTAAAAATTATATAACAATAAGAGGAATGTACAAACTAATTGATAATAAGTGGTTTTTTAGTGGAATTAGAATTAAATAAAAGAAAGTGTTCGTAAGTATTAGGAGTTTTTAGATTAGCTAATAAAGAAGAAATAGAACTTTAATCGGGAAAAGCATGAGGAGAAGGTGAAGGTTGATATCATCCATTAGTAATACAAGAATACAAACAATTGAATTATACATACTGAATCCTATAATCTCTTCATTTATAATTCCCATAATTATTATCGAAATATTCCTATATATAACAATAATTCAGAAAGGATATAAAACTATAATGATAATATTCCCTATAAAAACCCTCAATAAGAATCCCACAATTCTATATTAACAAGTCATTTATGTATAATACTTATATTATACAAATTTATATAAATATAATTCGATTATATATATATAAAACAGAATTATTTAGTATTATTAAAAGAACAAGTTGAAAATTATTATAATAATATAGTACAAGAACTTGCCTGTTAATAAAGAGAACAGAATTTTGATTTAGATCCGCCACCATATTTGCTACATTATACAATTGAAAAGCCCTATTCGTACGAAAATATTAGTATATTATATATAACATAAAACTAATAGTAAATGGAAGATAATTAATAATACAAACTGCTTATATCTTAGCAAAAACTAATATACATTTCAAACAATCAATTAAATTCGAATTTTCTATAATTTCAAAAGGATTAATATAATACTAAATCTAGGTATATCGTCCAATACGGCCAAAGAATACATATATAATAAGATGATTTAGATTTTAATGGTTTTGATAGTTTTCTAATATAATATTTAATTGATTTAAGATAAAGTTTATTATACTTATTTGATTTATTATAGGAAATAGGGATTGAACTAAGCGATAAGATAACTATTTATTACAAGTTTCAAATACCAATCTGATTCATATAAATTCTATTTGTATGAAAAAGAAAGTTAAGTTTGTATCAAAATATATAACCAATAATATAACATTTTATATTATACTTTACCTTATATATATATATAAAATATATAAATGAGAGTAGTACACATATATAAATATAACAATTCCTTTTTTATATAAAGAGGGTAAACAGAAATAAACAATTTTTTTAATTATATATATTGTGTATATACACCTTACCAAGTCTGCCCAACAATTATCGAGTCGTTAATATTATTAGATTACTATTTATTTTTATTTATAAAAAACGTTTATAAGTAATTATATACTTTCTTTATTTTCTAATGTAATTTTATAAAATTTGAAAATATAAAATTTAATTATATAAATATTATATAAATTAAATTATTTATTAAAAATTCGAATTAATATAAGAGTTATTATAAAAAGAATTTTTTTGTAATAAAAATCGTAACAAGTTCGATTTTTTTTAAAATAAATTAGAAATATTTATATAAAAACCAGATTTTTGAATAACTGATTTTTTATGATTATTTAATATTTTTTTCTTTTTCAGGAATAATGATTAGTTATTAAGATATGATTATTGAAAAAAGCTTAGTTTTGATGTATTTTTGAAATAGCGACCCGATGATATTGATGACCCAATGATAAATCACATTAATGTATAATATATAATTTACTATGAGTAAGTAGATAAATATCTTATCTCACAATCTCACAATCTCCTCTCCTCTCCTCCTCTCCTTTCCTCCTCTCCTTCTCTTACTCCCCCCCTCAAATCCTAGGTATCTCTAGAAAGTTCCAAGAACTTCATTCTAATAAGTTTATTCTATTTCATCCCATCCCATCCCATCCTATCCTATCCCATCCCATCCCATCCCATCCCATCCCATCCCATCCTATCGCATCTCATTCCATCGAGAAATGGAAAAGGAAAAGGAAGAGAAAAAAACGGAGATCTATATGACTATTCGTATCGGCATTTGATGTATTCTATTCGTATGTATGTATTACTATGTAATCTTACCATCTCCCATTTACCCATATATTTCATCCCATATCTCACATTTCGCATTGCGCATCGCGCATTCCACATCTCAATACACACCATCACATTCGTTTCATCCCCTTATCATACATACATACACATAAAAGTAAAAACACACCTTGATATCGACCCATCCATCTATAACTGTAGCAAAAGACCTCTCATCCCGTGGGCAAATAAGGCAAATAAAGCAAATGAAGCACAAACAATTGAACCCATCACTTGACCCCCCAATCTCTCAACCCCTCCAAATTCCCCAAAACTCAATCACAACACTATATTCCATCCACACGACTCCAGTCCATTTCACCCTCCACCCCACTAATCTACATGTGATATCTTTCCGGTCGATAAACCCCGCCTCTAAGAATCGCAGCCATAAGACGCAACTGTCTACCAGTTAGACCACGTCCCCTAGTCGTATATATGCCATTTGGATATTGTTGAATTGTAGCTAGAAGGTCCAAAGTGTGCGTATCAAGCTCTCGTCTTCCTGGCGGGTCTTCTATTTTACGTCTTAATATCACAGACACAAATTCGTCAATTTCTGACGTACTTATGATAAAAAGAAATACAGCAAAGAAGAATGTATAGGAAACTTACCCTCTGCTCTTCTTAACAATGTGCTTAACTTCTTCTTCTTCCTGTTCATCATCCACATCCTTCATCTCTTCGTCCTCAGCTGCAAACTTTTGGTTGTTCGAAGTATCATTATCAGAAGTCAATTCTGGGGTTACCGATGCGGCTTCCTCGTTAACTTTCTTCGACTGTTTGCCACCTTTCTTAGCGACTGGAGCTGGTTTGGTCTTGGTTAAGATTTCATTCTCGTCATCATCTTCCACCTTGACTTCCTTTTTGACGACTGGTTTTTTGGCTCGAGAATTCTTGACAGGGACTAGTTTGACATCTTCTTCATCTTCGGAATCCTCTTCTTTAATTTCCTTTTTGACTACTGATTTCTTGGCGCGAGAATTCCTAGAGGGGGCAGGTTTGGTATCTTCCTCATCTTCGATATTTTCCTCTTTCTTAACAGCAGGAGCTTTTCCTTTGGAACTCTTGGCAGGGGCTGTTTGGGTGTCTTCCTCGTATTCGGAATTCTTTTCTTTTTTAACAACAGATGCCTTTCTTCTGGATTTCTTGACAGGAGCGGGCTTAACCTCTTCTTCATATTCTTCAATATCTTCTTCATTCTTAACCGCAGTCTTTCTTCCACGAGCCTTTTTGGCAGGCATAACTTCTTCCTCGGATTCCTCTTCTTTCTTGACCTTTCCGCCTCTCCTCTTCTTTGCGGGCTTTTCATCCTCTTCTTCTTCTTCTTCGTCAACTTCTTCTTTCTTCACTCTACTTCTCTTCTTTGGTGTATTAGCCTTCTCTGACTTTACTGCATTTCTTTCTCTTTCCGCCTTTTGTCTCTCCTCTTCCTTTCGACGGGCAGTCATTTCCTTTGCAAATTCTGCAATCTTCTTATTGAGAGCCTTAACTTTCATACCATTCGCCTTTCCATCATCAATGAGCTCTTGTTTTTCCTTTTCGGCTTCATCCCATTTGACTTGAAGTTCAGTTAGATCACCCATTTCAGCCGACTTTTGCTCCTTGATCTTTTTCTTTGATTCGGAGGTACGAGTTCCTGTTTGACCGAGGGTATTCATTTCCGGGTCCTACTTTTGGTCAGGCCTTCCTAGTGTAAAGTGTTATGGGGAAAACGGAGGAGAGGATGAGTGCAAATGAATAAAAATACATACACCTTTCCAATCTTCGGGGTCAATGAATCCTTGCATAACAACTCGTCTGACCTTCTCCTGCATTTCAGGATGATCATCTAAACTACCCTTCCCACCATCATTATAGCCATCCATCTTATCAAACATATAGCCTCCCTTACCATCTTCAAGATAATTTCTCATATTCTCAAGTTGTTTTCCAGTGACACATCCCCTGATTTGCATTAGCAATAGATTGTGGAAACAGATTAGAGTTTAAGATCATAGTTATTTGAGAAACAAACACCTCGATAAACTTTACTTCATCAAACACTATTAGAAAATAACATACCAATGTTTCCATTGCCAACCTCCATGTTCTTGAATCTCAACCCAAGTACCCAGTCTCAATTCATTTTTTTGAATCTTGACACCATTATCTTTACATTCCTTATTCTGACATCCAGCTCGCGCAGTGGTTGCGAGTTCTACAAGAATCAGTGATCAATATTCAAATCCATCCATCAAGAAAGATGATCCTTTCTCGCCGTTGAGCACCAAACGCGTTATCACGTGAAGACAAAAAGTTGGAAATTGTAAGGCAAACGAAAGAGAAATTACGTACCAACGCGATAAGACATATTTGCTGTCTTGTGTCTGTTGATAGAATGAAAGAAGAATGCCCGAAAACGAAGTGTAGATAGGGAGGTATTTATATCAATAGGTACCCAGATATCCGTGGCCTATCTCTTTCCCTCAGCTTCTGCAGCTCACCACCAAACGCGGGTGTTGCACTTCTTTTTAAACAAGGCGTCGAAAGAGTAAATGTCTCTTGCTATATCTCCTTTGTGGCGTGCGATATGGAGAAGTTTCGTCGAAGTTTCAAATGAAGTGTCAGAGTCATATGAAATCGCAATAAAGCTTTGTAAAGAGAAAATCAAAGTCTTGAGTGAAATACTGATTTGATTGTATGAAGAATTTATCTAATGAAGGGGATTTCCGATGAAGAAGCTTGAAGCTTCCAAGATTCATTTGAGCTTGAGCTTGGACCTTTTCATTTCGGATGGATTATGTAAGCGATTTGATTAGGCAGAGACGTCACGTTACATTCAATTCTATATCCTATCATTCCATTTCTGTAAGCTTGGGAAAAGAGGTACCTATATGTACTTGACCATCTGCGGGAAGGTTCAATGTCAGAGTAGGAATATCGAGTGTAAAGGCCACAATAACAGGTGTTTTGTTTCTGTTTGACTCGATACATATGATGAGGCTCTCGCAAAGCACTACTCAAATATGCTTCACAGGGGAACGATTGGACATTCATCAAGTTGAATGAGTTGGCAATATCGATGGTCATTTCGGGAGGTTAGCTACTATCAGCTTCATATCTTCAAGCAGCTACACAGAGGACTTGATAGTAGGTGAGTATTGAAACCCTCTAGACTAAATTCGGCGTGAGTATCATCTAATTATGGTGAAGGATATAAGTACGTCACATGGGGTAAATCCTGGCTGGTATTGATATAGCTTTTCTCAGACTGTCAATATTCTTCTCTGAAGCATCTCTCTCCTGGAAATAGACATTCCAAGTATGCCACATAATTCCAAAAGACAACATCAACAACAACAACACTCAATATGTAATGCACCATATGCTGCGCCGTTCAGAAGCATGGGTTGAAACGGCCATAATGTAGGCACCGAGGCTGCACAGTTTGACCCCTACATACATCCTCTGACATTGGGGTCAAATATCTTATCTCATCCTTCTGCGGTTTCCTTTTCTTTCTCTTTCTCTCCACTCTCCACTCTCCACTCTCCACTTTGGAGTTCTCAATCAAGATCTCTTCTCAAAATGCTTTTTCCCTTTCTCCTCACATTCAGTCAATCAGGCATCGACCACGACCGTATTTCCTTCGGCGCAGGATTCGGTCTACCTAGTATTTTCACCTACTCTCCATGTGGAACAACATTCCCTCAATGGCTCACTCAATGGAGGTACAATGATCGTGAAAACACCATTCGAAAAATCATCTGCGTGACTGGATTATTACTTCACATTCTGTTGAATCTATTTTATATCACGGGATGGGGAAGCTTATGGATTCTGTGGGGAATTCTAAGTGCCTCGTTTAATTTTTGGTTTGTGTGTATTGGGTTTTGGTGGTTGAATATTATGAGAGGAGAGAGGTAGGTTTATGGGAGAAGGTATGTATCTATATAGCTAACTTGGAACTGTAAATTCCATTCTGTTGTATCTAATCTGATAAATCGGCAAATAGAGCAACAAGACAACACTTCGATATGATCATAGCGTTTCTCCTCGTCGTATTTACCTTCTCATTTATTCTAAAATCAATCACGGGATTGAATTCGCGTGGAGCGATTTATTTCTTTAATGATTGGTGGTCGCCTCTTTGGGGATTGGCGGATATGTTGTGTCCACTTGCTGGATGGGTTAGTACTTGGGAAGGAATTGGAGTGGTCAATTTGGCATAGAGCGTGGATGTTATCTAGGGGGGTGGGGCATGGATTCCGGAAACTAGGACTCTTGGCTCGTCTGAAGTCTGGACTTTTACCGTGAAGAGTGGATCACGAAAATAGAATTGACTGAATCTAGGATTGCAAATGACTTCATTCTGTTTAGCGATTCATTCTACTACCTACTTGCAATTTGAGGTGAAAGTTCTCCCTCCATGAAACGTGGAGATACACTGTGCCAGCGCACCAGCTCACAATCTCTGATCAATTTCTTTCCCCCCCCGGCCCTCATCAACCCATCCTTTCCAGCCACTCAGTCCAACACCTTCTAAAAATCCCCCAAGGCTTTCCTATACTTCCTACTAATCCCCTTCAACTCACCCCTCGTCTTCTTCAAGTCAATCATCAATTCATCAATAAGATTACTCAGCATCAACTCATGATCCTCTAATTTTTCTTCCTTTTCGCGCAGAGTATGTATATCAGGATCTGGCTTCAATACCGTCTCGATGCGTATGTTTTCTTGCTGGAAACTTCTTATAATCCTTGTAGTTTCTGAACGAACCATTTCGGTGGTTTGGACCTTGTGGTATTGGGGCGCTGAAGATGGGGATGCAGATTGTGTTTCGGATTCTGTGCTTTCGGGTCGGTTCTCGGTGTTGGAGTGTAGAGTTCGCGATGCAGGTTCGGGGTCGGATTGGCCTGGGGGTTTCATTGTTGGATTAGCGACGTGATGAGTAGGCTCGTGAACTTTCTTCCGGTATAATTCGTTTCTTAAGAATTCTGGAGGGCTTCCACCTCTGTCGAGATCATCGGGATCAGACTCTTGGCTTATCTTTGGTGATACTTCGTTCCTTGCGAGCCACATGGATCTTCCACCTCTGTCGAGATCATCGGGATCCGAATCATCACTTTGAATAGCTTCGGTCTGGGATGGTTGCATGCGATCTTGAACAGAATCTCGAGCCACCTCAATAATTTCCGTATGTAGGGGATCATCTTCGATCTCCCATTCCACCTGGGCGCCCGATATCAATGTTTGAAATCCAGCAGCAAGCGGCTCTTCTTGTCTCTGTCCACTATCCTTGAGATCTCCATCACTCAACTCTCGCGCGCTTTCTACTTCAGCCCATACATCGTCATCTCCAATCCGAGATTCTGCCTCTTGGGTAGAAATATAGGTCGACATAGCTTCCTGATGCTTCTCCCAATAACCACTGCACTCTTTGATTGAAGCGGCTGTGCCTTTCACTCCAGATTCGGGTCCCGCTGTATCGGAATTAGGCTGCGCACAAATTATCTGTACCCGTGGATTATCTGCGGATAATCCGCTCCGCGGGTTATCCGTCAGAGGTTCTACCCGCTCTACGGATTATCTGTCGAGGCTTTAAAATTACCCGCTCCGTACGGGTAACTTGCGGATTATCTGCAAATAATCTGTGGATATATGAGTAGACGGATTATCTACAAATATATAGGTTATCTACAAATAATTTACAGATTATCTATAAATAATCCATGGATATATAGAATCTCCGCTTTTTTCGCTCAAAATATAAAGCTATTCCCAGATTATTCTCCAGCTCAAAAGTGATCCAAGCTTAAATTTATACTAATTTTTATATTAATTATAAAATTATACTAATATTATGAATAATTATACAATATACGGGTAGGTGAATATCCGTAAGTAATTTGTATTCGCCCTGTGGGTTATTCATTCAGATTTTTGAATTATCCGCTTCGCAGACGGATTATCCGCGGATTATCTGTCGAGGCCATTATCCGCCCCGCGGGTACCCGTTGCGCAGCCTAATCGGAATCAGAACACGATTGTGTGCTCACTTGACTTTCTCGGAGCGGGCCTTCCGGTACTAAATCTTGTTCGTTGGAGTCGGATTGTGATGGTGTGCTTGTTTGGCTTTCGCGGAGTTGCGCTTCGGGCTCTGGGCTTGGTTCAGTTGGGGATTTGGATTGGGGCTCGGATTTGGCTTTGATGGCGCGGTTTTCACGGGGCATTGTGCTGGCGATTGTTCGCTTGGAGATGGATGAATGAGAGGGGTGCTGAGGGAAAATGGATTGGAAATTGATGTTTTTGGGAAAGTGATTTGGATTGTCTGATGTAGAATATGGAGGGTGGGGAAAGAGGTTTAAGTAGGTTGGATGAGGGGGTTGTTATTTGTTCGGGATATGAAGATAGTGATCAAAGACTGAGATTGCACGAAAGAAATGAAGAAAAACGACGAAAAGGATTCTGAGATGAGAGATGTTTTTTCATGATTCTCTTAGTTTCTATGTATGATGGAATGAGATTGACAGTAGGCTTGTGTATCAACTTGTCAAGTGGTCTCTCTTTCAAGGGGGTGACTGAGAGTATCATATTGCAATCTTATATGAAATGTTTGATAAACGATTTCAACCCAATTTCTTGAGGTATTCGATCATGCAAATAATAGAGTTCATAGAAGTATCCCGGATAGTCCAAAGCCAGAAACAATGGTAAGAAAAGATATTGAAGCGGATACAGAAATGCGTAGCCGAAAAGGAAACATCTATCGATTTCTTTTTCTCCTTTACAACTAAAAAAAGATTAGTTGATTTCTTTTGCTAGATTTAATCCATGAATTAGATAAGAGGAGGTAGGTACGAAATTCACTCTACATTGTAAGAGCTAAATTGCAGATTCTTTTCACCCCTTTCTTACTGTTCAATCCCTGTGATATTTACATGATCCACGATCCAAATATGCAAGAACCCTCAGATAGATGCCCTCAACCACCTCCCAAACATTCAAACATCCCACAAATTATTCGAAATGACCATTAACATGATGCGCAACCGCCATTTCATCGCCCTCAAACTTCCCACAAACAGGACATGTACTCATTGCAGATTTGAAGACTTCTCCTGTTGATCTTTCTCCCAATACTTCTCCCTCGTCATTCTGACCGCTTTCTTCTGGCTCCATGATGACTCTCTCACTGTTTTTCTTTCCTTCAACCGTATTTTTCTTCCCCTTCCGATTCCCTTTCACAACAATATAATCTTCCAAACTAGCTCCTGCACTATTACTCGCCGCGGAAGATTCCTCATACCCATCTGTCCTAAAATCCGAGTACATGTTTCCACTTCCCCCTCCTCCTGCTCTTCTCATACCTCCCACCCTTACACCCGCATCACCACCTCCACCCACCTCCCCATTCCTCCCCAACCCCCTCATCCCCCCCTCCCCCTCCTCCGCCTCCCCTTCAGTACACAACCCCTGTACCCTCCCCACCCTTCCATCCCTCAACCTAACCTTCACCCCCCTCGGATGATCGCCCCTCGTCAAAAGTTCCCTCACAAACCCTTTCACTCCCCTCCCACTCCCCTGGTCCATTTTCAAAACAATCGATACGGGTGTTCCTGGGTGTAGGAGCGCTATGTGTGGGACTGGAGATGCGTTGGTATGAGAACGTGGTGCTCTATCACTATTGCCACGGCCTCGTCCATAGCCTCTTCCTCTTCCGCGGCCGCGGGGAGGGTCTGGTGTGTCCATTTTAAGGGGGGATATTGATGGCGAAGATTTTATGGAGTTGTGTTGTGAAAGTGGTGTAGTCTTGTCGTCTGGACAATAAAATGGATGGATTGATATAGATAGTCTGTAAATAAAATTGCGAGCTCCTATCCTATCTGATATTTTCGCTTCGTCTTCTTCCCTCCAACTTGATTTGCAAATCTTGAGGCAAGAAATAATTCCAACTGGATGGTTCTTTTGTCCGTTTATCTGTTGTGGTGAATGGCTATTGAGCTTTAATCTATATTATTGTGAGATGGTCGATAAAATTTTATTGAAATTCTTCAAGCTATCATGGTTGTTCGACACAAAAGGAAGGTCGAGGCTTTGAGCTGCAAAATATGACATCGTGACTAAAGAAACACGTGAGTCGCAATCATGTGATATTTAAAAAATGTTTGAGATCTTAAGCAATCTAAAAGTTTGCAGAAGCAAGAATACAAGTGGTGAGAAATCATGATGGCTAAATGTGTGTTTTCATCGGGGAATGCCAAACAATATTCACATAGGAGAAGCCACTAGTGGGTGCATAGATTGACAAAACACTTCCTAACTTTCGAAATTTCAATAAATTCACGCTATAATTGTTTGATATCAGAGTTCACATTTTGATTTTTCCATTTTCAATTAACGATTGTAACAATTCCTAAAATATACAATTCGATTTACCAAGAGGTATTTACAAATCCATTTTTGCGGCGTCTGGTCAGTCCATACAACTGGTGAGCCTAAGCTTCTGGATCCTGTAGTTCATAATCATCTCTTGCCATATTTCAACCAAACTTCAAAAATTCCAAAGATCCAACAGGATTAAATCCGCTTCTCAATAAGCAAATCTCCTCATTCCCTCTCCAACTCTCTTGTTTAGCCACCCATAATAAAACCTCAATCCCACACATCCTACACACACAAAATACAACAACCCAGCATTCACCCAATGTCCTAACGGAAAGCCTTCTTTCGCTTGGGTTGACTTGTATATCCAGACACCTGCAATTTGTCCTGGCGCTCCTACTGATATATTCAATGCAATGGCAAGTCCAATGCCGGCTGTTGAGAAGATATTTGAAGAGAGGAAACCGAGAAGAGGAGGGATACAGGAGAAGGCTCCTGAGGCGGCGATAATGAGACAACCATAGCGGGGGTTATACGAAGTAGGAGGCAGGAGAGCGGAGGCGGTGAAACCGATGGCGCCGACGAGGGCCATCATTGAAGAATGGAGGGCGCGACTGAGCAAGATTAGATGATTGCGAGTGGAGAAGAAGAGGATTCAGCTTACGCATTGAAGTGATCAGCGGACCAGGATACGAGGATCGTTACAACATCTTCAAAGGGTTAATACTGATTCAGTAGGGGAGAGGAAATAAACGTACAGGCGACAGCATATGGTGGGACTGTCATAAGTTGAGCCTCGAGGTTTTTGTATCCAATTCCAGCAGTAATACTAGGTATGAACAAGGACAAACTCGAGAAAGGTGTAGAGATACCAAAGTAAATCTTAAAGTCCGGGTCAGCGTGCCATAGAACGTTATGATGATATTTAATACTCACTGCATAATGAGCATATAATCTCCAGGTGCAAAGAGTTTCCTTGGCTTCTTGCCACGTCAATCCTCTATCGCCTCCTTTAGCTCCCTCTGTCGCAAGTCTACTTGTGGCCAAATCTTTCTCATCTTTTGATAGCCACTTTACTGTTTCTGGATAATCTGGTAGGTAGAAGAATACAAGAATGGATGATAAACAAGAAGGAATCCCTTCAATAATGAATAACCATCTCCAAGCTGACATTCCGTGGGCACCATTCATATGACCGACTCCAAAAGCGATAGCGCCACCAAATGCTCCTGCAAGAGTCGCGGAGGCTAGAATGAATGCGACACGAATTGAGCGTTCAGATGTACGGTACCAGAATGTCAGATAGTAAACTAGACCTGGGAATAGTCCTATTGCCATATTAGTGACTGCTTACAAAAGAGGGCAAAAAGTATGTACCGGCTTCGAACATTCCGAGAAGGAATCTCACAGCCGTCACACCAGCGAAGTTATGAGTAAATCCAAGTCCAATTGTCATGATACCCCACGAGAACATTAAGAAAGATATCCATTTGCTTGGACTGAGTTTTTTGAGGAAGTAATTGGATGGTACTTCGAAAATTGCATACGCGATCAAAAAGACCATCAATGCGATGCTGGAATGGATTAGCAATCAGCAGTTCTAGGAAAAAGGGTCCACACATACATATACTGAAAATCAGTCATGTGTGTATCGGAAAGAAGATCATCATGAGTAGAAGAATTGAGCGTTTTAGCATTGCCTACTTTCTATCAGCTTCATACACACGACGTGAGGTCGACAAGAAGTGAGACTGACCAATGTTCGAACGATCGAGGTAACATAACAAGTAAATACCAGCACATAGAGGTACGATCCTTAGATCTTGCTTCCAAACCAATGCTTTAGTATCTGCGACAATTTTTCCCCCTGTAACATAGTCTGCTTCCTCAACTCTCTGTGGTACATTGTTAGGTCGTTGATGGAACGAAACGCGAAGATATTTTTAACTTGCCTCTTTTCCTCCTTCGAAATCAGATATGTCGACCATAATAGAAGAGCGCTAAAGTAAATCAAGCAACGCAGCAAATCATGTATGTGGAAGAACACAGTAGGGAAATATGTACATAGCAGGATGAATCACAAAGAAAGATAAAGAATCAGTATTACACCGCTTAGATATAATGTCGCATTCAATGAAATCAGGCCCTGTGAATCTCCACGCGACATGACAAGAGTGGAGAGAATGGAGCGAGGATCGCGCGGCCTACGATCATTGGCACAAGCGCTGATCAGGTCTGGGGTAAAGCCAAAGGAGGACTAGCGTATAAATCATGTATGATATCTCTTAGCCTTGCATGAAATGTGGCTGAGTAGAGAAAACAATCAAATGTTTGACATAAGCCTTGTCCTATTACGGTGTGAACAAACCGCAGTCAATACTTATATGGAGCCACTGGGTTGAGTTATTCGGTGTCATGAGAAGATGTATGATTGATTGTTGACTTCATTTTGTTTACCTCGACCACTCAAGATTCTAGAGAAGGAATCCTCGTTCCAAATGAAATGTCTAGTCAAGATAGCCCTCTCTCTATAACATCTAGCGTCGCAGGAATATTGACCTTTGTGGCCGCTATTGCAGCAGCGATATACGTTCGATTCACCTACTTACGCAATGCTGATAACGAATACTTCCAAGTCAAAGCAGCCCTTTCGTGGCATAAAACTGAATCACAGTGGCTTCATGATTTGGTTTATGCATCTGATGGTCCAAAAGATCGTTTCGGACAAGAAAAGGAATATCAGATGTATGTCTCCGTAATCGAGGAACTTGGAAAACTTGAGGAGAGATTACTAGAATTGGTGACCGAAGCCGAGCTGAAGGCTAGTACCGAGGATGATCAAGGAAAGAAATGGGCCTTGGTACCGAAAAGTATGGCATTTAGAACGAGTGTAGCCATGTCGTGGCTACCTGTGAGGAGGAAAGCTTTGGAATTAGTTAGGCAAAGAGATGCATTAGGAGCTAGAGTTTTATTTGCACAGATGAGTATGATGTCATCGTAAGTAGGATACCCCATAGTTTAGGGGCTCGAAACTGACTAAATTAGACGAGCTCGAGACCAAGAATCACAAGCAAAGAAGCAAAAGGAATTAGATCACGAAAGACTTGACCGACTGGAAAGTACAGTTCATTCTCAACACGAGAAGCTCGATCGACTAGAGTTTTTAGTATATCGATTGATGCATCGTGATCGAATTGGATCTGAGAGCGTTCGTCGATGGGAAGCTCAAAGAAATGACACTTTTGGAACCGACGATTCTCAGTCCGAAACTCCGGTTGAGACTGGAACAACTATCCCTTTACCAAAAGCAGAAGGCTACGACCTTGAGCATTTTCAAAAACCAGAATCGACAGCTGTTTAGCGAAGGGTTCAGTGATACCAGTAAATTGAGTCAAGGAAACATGACCACTCTTTCCTCGCTTCTGCTTCATGAACTCGGACCGCTAGCTGCTCCCTCGACTGCTTCTCTCTCTGTTCGGCCCACCTTAGCACCCGAGCACCTGCACCAGCAAAGGGTGCACGTCTTTGTCCAATAATTTGGTGCACTTTGTAATTGGCGTTAAGTGAACAGCACCTGCCAGAACACAATCCGTAGTTGGTGCTGTCCAGAGGTAAATAGGCATCATATGGGACCTCTTGTCTTTAGCACAGCCCCTCTCCTAAAAATCACCCAGAATCTCATTCCTTAACGGCTAAAGGAATGCATACCCTTTGACCTTTAGGTATATAGCACAAAATGCAACACTAGGTACTGCCCATAAGATGTTCAACTCAACCACCGCCCAAATCCAGATAGTCCCTACTGGTGGAGCCTGTTTCATTGTGGCAAAATGACCGTATTCATTTGTGATGTGTATAAGATAACATCCAGCCATTATACTAGCAGCAGAGAAGAAGATTTCGTGTACATAAGGATGTGCTTCGGCAGGTATTCGAGGTAATAAATTCGAGGGTTCGGGATGTGGATGGAAGGCGTAAAAGAGAAGCCAGATGACTGTTGAGATCAGCAAATATTCTGTTACGCCCAAGTATAATGTAAGACTTACCAGGACATGCTTGGAGGGCCCTCGAAACGATACCCTTCCAGACGATTTCTTCGGCATATTGATGTGTAACCAATACATCCAGAGTGAAATGTAACATCGTAAGACTGATTGTCCATAAAACGGAATCCCCTAGTCTTCCTATTAAAATCTCCTCATTTTCTCCATCTAATTCTGCTTGACGCTGTCGTTGAGCTTCACTTAAATTTCGTTTTTCTGCGATATCGAGAAGAGTTTCGATGGATGGATCAGGGCCAGATCTATCTGGCTTTTTGAGCTTCAATTTCGGTTCTTTGCGTGGCATAATGTTTGCTGTCTCGGAATGAGTGATAGTATGGGGAGGAGTGTCTCGTGGCTTTCACAAGGAGTATAAATGCTTGCTAATACCCTGCGAGCCTTGTCATCTGAAGGTAGTTGCAGATAGATGCAAGTACCTAGATACATATACCGAGTAACCAAGGCTGACACTTGAGACGAAAGGCTGTCGAATACTTGATTAGGTCGTGTTCATGTAAGAGTGATGAATTTCATCTCGTACATATCTAGACCATGTAGATTTGAATGACATTGGTCAATATTTGATCCGATCCCTTGCAGTGAACCTCGAATTATCCCTTAGCGCAAGGCTCAAGGACCCATATATTTCTTGACCGACAAACCGGTCATTTCCACTCGTTTCTCTTCACGAACCCCTCTCAAATCCTACATATCCACTCCATTTCATACTCGTCGTCGCTCCATTTTAACATACACCTCGACCCTTTATCAAAGCTTCCCCCATAAATACCTTTGAAATGCCCAAAATGCAATGGACCTATTTCCTTACCATCCCTATCATCACTTTCGCTGCATGGCAATATAGTGTCACCGTTGTTAACTCCAAATTTCCCAAACTTCGTAACAAGAAGATATGTCTATTGATCGCGCATCCTGATGATGAAGCTATGTTTTTTGCGCCAGCGATGCAAGCTCTTACGGATCCAGAACTTGGAAACCATGTTAAAATTCTCTGTTTGAGTAGTGGTATGTAAGGTGCATGATATCGAGTTAAGCATATGTTGATGTGCAGTAGGTGATGCAGATGGATTAGGAGAAACTCGGAAGAAGGAACTTGTTAAGAGTGGGATGCAGTTGGGCTTGCGACAAGAGAATGATGTTTTCGTCTTTACGAGTCCGTAGGTGTTTCTCGAATCATGTCGCATAAGTACTATTTATACTAATCGCGTTTCTTAAACAGAGATTTCCCGGATAGCATGACGAAGATATGGGACAAAGAAAAGATCGCCAACCTTTTGGCATCTGCCTTTTGCCCTCCTCACACAAGAAAAACAGACCTTACAACTGCCCCAACTGCATCTATCGATGTTATTGTAACTTTTGATGCGCAGGGAATTTCTTCGCACCCAAATCATATTTCCTTGTATCACGGCTCTCGAGCCTTGATCGCATCCATGATGCGGGATCGTCCAGGATGGCAATGCCCTATTGATCTTTATACACTTACCAGTGTCTCAATTTTCCGAAAGTACACATCTATTTTCGATACCTTGAATACTATGGCAGTCGCAGCATTTTCGAAGCGAGAGATAGGCGATCATCCAAGTCCTTTGTTGATGATGAGCGGGGTGGGTCAACTTAGAACCGCGCAAAAGGCTATGACAACAGCACACAAAAGTCAGATGAGGTGGTTCAGATGGGGTTGGATTGGAATGTCAAGATATATGGTCATTAATGATTTAAAGCTGGAAAAGGTCGTTGCGTAGATACGCGTCTGAAAGGTACAGTTCAGGTTTATGAGAAAGAGAACAGGGCTCTATTGTGCAGTGCACAGTACAAATGACTTTTGATAAAAGTATCTCTTGCGCATAAGAGAGTATGAATGGATGAGAGATGAGTAATGCGTATACGAAGTTAGCATGCTTCTTTTGATCTTATTTTGTATTGTTTGTTATTTTTTTTGTTCTCTTCCGCAAGATGCCTACAGACCGGGCTAGAAAGCCATCGGCTTTTCTAATCAAACTTGCTTGTTGTATTTAGACACATATTTCTCTACTTCATGATACTTCAATATTATGAGTTATGATTCATTTCATTCTAAAATTCCTTGTTCATTGAATCCAGCCATAGAGCTGACATTTAAACCTTTGAATTTGATCCAGTCTTCGTTGTTTGTGACAAAGTTAGAAGATTTCAACAACTGGCTTTTATCACTATTCAAAGCCCGGTTTTATTTCTGTAGCTGCGCATTCTACAGTCTCTAGTCTTACATACCACCTCAAGTATCATCACTAGTACCATCTATCTGGTTACAGTCAGCGCCACATAGAGACCACGTAAAAGAAAGGCAAAAAAGTAATTCTCGCATCAAATCAACGCAATACGGTTTCAGAACAAAGTGGAGAGATGGTAAGAATTTACTTCTATTCCCGCTACTTTTACAAGCTTCAAATAGTGGTTTGATATGGAGTTAGACTCTCACAACATGAGATTTGCTTTCTTAAATCAATCTAGATTTGAATGATGATTCTGTGTCCAAATTCCTCTGTTCCTGTGGATATCACTTAATCGCAGTATCCTTCTCATTCATATCAGTAAAAACTATCTCTCCCAACTGATTTTCTTCATCTAGTCTCGCAAACCCCCATTAGCGATCCATTAGTAAGTGTACGGACTGACGGGACACTATAAAGATTGATTTGTGAATATCTCTCAATGAATCAAATTATATTTCTTAAGAACTATTACAATTGTTCTTTAGACTTGAAACAATCAGATTGTGAAGTCTCATATCAAACAATCAAAGATTGAATTTGTTAAAAATTTCGAAAGTTGGGAAGTGTCCTGTCAATCCATGCACCCAGTGGTGATCCAGTCAACAAATCGACTGATGATGAAATCAAAGCTAGATTCGATGTCAAAATCAAAATCAAAATCAGATATAATATCATCCACCTCGCTATCTCAAAATTCCTCTTTCAAGCGGAAAACAGAAATTCTGAAGCATACACGAGATCAAGATCAACAGCAACATCAATGTGGGAGTCAACAAGAAGATGGAATAGAAGAATTGGATATCATCGGTATCCTTACGCTTGAAAAAGCACAGTTGGAGGAGAAGGTGATGGGATTGGAAGAGAGAGTGCGGGGGTTGGAGATGCAGAGGGAAAGGGATGTGTGAGGATGCTTTTGTGGATGAGGGTGGAGATGGCGAGGTTTGGGGAGTGGTGGGGAGGGGTGAGAAGTGAGGAGTGAGGGGCAAGGGGTGAGGGGAGAAGGAAAATGAAGGATCTTATGGAGTAGTAATGGATGGGGAAGAGGAGTCTGGGTTTTTTTGGGATGGGAAGGGTTTCTGCATAGCACTACTGCCATTTGATGCTATAAAAAGAAGTTTCTGAGATTCATGTTTCCGGACTTGTATCCATCCAGCTTCTCTTTCTCCATTCCTGTTTTACTCATATAAATCAACATCCTCGCATAAACTCTCCCCCACTACAATCCCGTTCCCTTTCTCATCCCCCCACCTCACAAATCCTCCCTAACAAACCTCGCAACCCAAACCCCCATCGCCTCCACCCCCTTCAAACCCCCCTCTACATTCCTCAAACTCTTCTCCAAAACATCATACATCATTTCCAACACATTCCCCCTCTTCCCCTCCTTATCCTCTCCCGCAGCCTCCCTCACCCTCCTCAACTCCCCCTCCTTCCACCTCCCCACATTCCCAACCTCCCAAACCCCATCTTCTAATCCCCTTCCATCCTTCACCATCTCTCTCTCAATCTTCCATCCTCTTTCTCTCATAACCTTCCGCATCTGCGTCGCGCTACGCACACATCTTACATTTCCACCTCCTTCTTCTCCTTCTTTTTTGAAGCCTTCTGAGATGGCTTGAAGCATGATTGCGAGGAGATGTGGGAATTGAGTGGAGGTGGGGGCGTTGAGATTCCATTCTGCGATGCAGATTTGTGTTTGGTTTGTAAGGAGATTAGGGGTAGGGATGGAATTTGAGGATTGGGGGGATGATAACAAGAGGGAGGAGATGTAGGAGATTAGTTGGGGAAAGAGAGAGGGGGATGAGAAGTAAAAAGTACTGTGGGAGAGGATGATGTGGGTGTATGGTTTTGAGTCTTGGGTTGTGGGTGAGGAGGAAGAGAGGGAGGAGAGGAGTGATTCGAGAAAAGGAATTGAAAATGTGTTGTGGAAAGTGATGCGGTGGCCTAATGGGCCGGATCTTAGTTGAGATTGGGCTTGGGAGAGAGTCCATGGTGAGCCTATTGTTTGTTAGTTCCTCGATTGGTGAGAATTTAATTTCATTTCCTTTTACATTCGACGCCTGGGCTGGAGAGAAAATCTTGCATGGGGAGAGAGGAGAAGAGAAGAGGAAGGATAATATTGGGTAGCAAAGAAAGAGCATATCAATACCATAATCAGGATCGCCAGGATCAACAGCATCAACATGACCATTCTCTCCAACCTGTGCAGCAAGTACCAATGTTGTATCTCCCTGACCACAGCCTATTTCGAGGACTTTTGATCCCGGTGGAATAGACCAGAAATTCACCTAGTTTTGTTTTAATAAGATTTTGCTGCCTTATAATCTTCACATTGTAGATGTTTGAAGAAGAGGGGTGGAAATGCTGAGTGAGCTAGGAGATTGATGGATTGAGGAGGATGGACAGGTAGGAGAAGTGAAGAGACAAACAAGTTCAACACGATGCCTAATTTGTGCAAGCAACGTTTCATTTCTTTCCTCATCGTGTTCGGGTGGTAAATCGCTTGTTTTGGGAAAATACGTGTCGAGTATTTCTCGAGGAATGATGGTTTCCGCCATTGTGTATAATATTTTAGAAATTGGATTAAGATGTTGAGATGAGGAAAAGGATTTTTATGAAAGATTCAAGGGAGATGTATGAGAATGTCACGTACTTTTATTGTGATAAGTAATCGAGACAATGATTGAGGGAAGGTAGAGAAGCACTTGTCTGAGGAAGCTTGAAAGTTTGAGTCATACACTAGTATGACTATGACCCCCATTCATGCATCGTGGATTCTAATCACATCACCTGCATATGGGGATATAGGACTGCTTATTGTGGCACAAAGTCTCGAATTCTCTCATCCGCTAACTCTAATTTCCATAAACCCCAAGATTGACGTTGCCCAAGAAGATTTTCAAAGAGAATGAAAGTGTGATGAAATGAGATGAATTCTTAGACTATCGATGACTTGTTTTATTTTCGAATCTATGGTCTTGCACGACTTTGGCTGCTAATTGAACTGACCCACCAACGACCTTTCTGTCCTGATTATATCGGTATTCATTTTTTCTCTTGAGAAGTCTCGCCAAAGATCTTCTTTGTCGTCTCTTCTTTGACCTGGTATCTCCATAAACCCTTCTCCATATCCTCAATTTTGTATCTTCAGGTTTTCCAGTATCCAAACGTACATGACCTGTATATGTTTGATAAGTCAACACTCCTCGTAAAAATGTTCTATAATTATTGACTATGTCTGGAACCTTCTGAAATGCCCAATTTGCGTGGTCTTTAGACAAGTATTCAGCTGGCCTATAGATGAGATAATTGATCCATTGTCGCATGTACATCCTGCTAACCCTCAATTTGAAACGGTAAAATATGAAGTCTCTTTGCCGAATTTGTGTGATTACCGAGTCTGGCTTTCTTCGTTTTAAACTACTTTCGTATAGGATCCTGTACCGATCTACTCTTTTGGCCAGTTTATTGTGTAGTTGACGGGCCCTTGCGATCTGAATCTGGGCGGTTCCAATTTGCCGGTTATAGAGAAGGTGACGAATGTAGATGTTGTACATTGAAAGATTGGGTTCGACGTTATAATGCAGAATCATATTATTCCAAACTTCGTTTATGCTAGACGAGGGCAATACTCCTTCGTCAAATCCCAACTCGCGTTGAGCGGCACTTCCCCGTCTTCTAGCAAAAACTGCAGTCCACTCCAATAAGTCTTGCCAAGCCCGCTTCGGAATATCAATGGAGTACTTTCGTGATACTTGATCCATTACATGTATAGCCATTGGTAAATCGTTATTGATACAAAACATATGGATGATCGTACGAAGTAACCTTCGCGATGGATACAATGGAGAGTCTGGAAGACGTATATTGAGCTTCGAATTCTCACCGTTTTTCAATTCGATATCAATGTTCCACACTCGCTTGAGAATTGTTTTGGCAGTCTCAAGGTCTCCCTCTCTACTTGCCGATATCATCAACAAGCAAAATGTCTCCTCATTCCCCATCAGACCCGCCTTCCCCATTTCTTGAAATAATTTATTGACCGAGAGTCTGACTCCATCGTTAGATCCGATTCGGTGTCTATTGAATTGATAGGGTCTGTTTTCCCATTGACGGAGATCCTTGTGGTGAGATACAACTCTTAGTCTTTCAGAATGGTACGGGCTAAGAACATCCGACCAACACATAGTAGCCATGTAATAATTAAAACATTCCACATCTGGTAGGATCTTTCTATTTTCCATCACTTGAAATTGATTGGAAATCAAAGACTTCCATGTCAATTCTGCAACTTCCTGATGTCCCGTAAACTTTGCAGCCCTGAGGAGCATTTTGTATTCGGACAGATGGATTGGATACTTTATTTGCCGTTTCATAATGATTCGACGCAAATGCCAAAGATAGACAGTGTAGGCACGATGAGTTCCGTCATAGTCAAGAGTATCCGTTCTCATTTCCAATAAATCTTTATGCTTGAAGTCTTGTAACAATGCTTTGTATCGTCCGAAAAAATGTTTGGGATCTAGTAATCTAAGGATTTCGGAAAATGTATTTGGGGGAATATCCAATAAAGGCGAATAATTCACACCGAAATTATCCACCTTGGAAAGTTTTATCAGTACTTTGAGAAGTTCATGAGGATCTCGTAACTGAAGTGCTCTGAGCACATTCTTGTATTCAGAAACCATTTTAGCTTCTTTGAGGAGGATTCTTCGTTGAGCTTGATTAACGGGCAATCCCACACCAACTTTTCGAATGACAGAAACCAGATCGGACCCATCGGATACTTCTTCTTGTTCTCCGGGAGTCGGAATCTCAAGTGGGTAAATATCTCCGTATGCTTCTTGACTTTGAGATTTTTCGGTGGCATGTTTTCCAACCCACCAATCCTTTAAATTTTCCTCTTTACTCCAAGCTGGCTTCATCCATTCTGGTGTTTTGAAGAATGTCTTCACATTTCGATGTTTATTCCTTATCTCGTATCGTCTCCAGTATGCTTGTTTTGCTGCCTGCGATCCATCGTTGCTGATCTCATCTCCTTCCTCGAATTGCTCAACGTTCGTTGCGTCCTCTTTCCCACTTTCTCTTCCCACAAAAGTACTGGGATTATTTCTTGGTCCTGTCGATCCGTACAACCGTCTTCTCTCATTGTAATTTCTATCGGGTTTCGTAAACGGTGACACATGAAGAGATGTAGCGATTGTGGACTTGCGCGTCGCAAAACCGCGCAAGAAAGGCCCCATTATATGTGATTTTGAAAATCATCATTCTCCCACCCTTTCTCTTCTCTTCTCGCATTGACCATGTAATTGATGAGATCAATTGAATTGTAATCTGGGGAAACCTGGGGAAAGTTGAAAAGGGTCCACTTGGTGTTGTCAATGGCGGGAAGTTAAAAGTGGTGGTTTGAAAGTGGTGGATTTGGTGGATTTCGCTTGATTATTTGAATTTTTTAGTGAGCGCGGCAAATCCCGCTGTGCAAAGCGACAACCTCTATCCGATTCAGAGGTAAGTCCAAAACGTCAATCCTGGAGATTATTCACAACAACAAAAGTTCGTCGGCATAAAACGAAACAAACATGGCAGATATTGATGATGGTGCATCTGCACCAGCGGAACCTCTTGATTTGGTGCGACTTTGTCTTGATGAGGTTGTTTATGTGAAAATGAGGGGAGACAGAGAATTGAAAGGAAGGCTACATGTGGGATATACCCCTGCAAGACATTGGGGTGCTTATACTGATGACCGGTAGGCTTATGATAGTCATTGCAATTTAGTATTGGGGGATGTGGTAGAGACAATCTATGTTGTAGAGGAGAGCGAAGAAGATGATGGGGAGGAGATCGTAAAGGTCGGTCTGTATCCTACTCGACATGCGCTTTCAACTAACATTTTTTTCGCAGACGGTTGTCAAGAAATCCGAGATGTTATTTGTTAGAGGCAAGTATTCTTGGATCCTCACTTGGGTTTCGTTGTATCTGACAGTCTTTCAACAGGCGACAGTGTTATACTTATCTCGCCCAGATCCTCATAAAATCAAATACCGACAACCCATTACACAAAAAAACCCGAGAAATAGTTCTACGAAAGAGAGACTGTAAAGGTCAGAGGATGAGAGAACAATACGGCGGGCAAAAAAGGGGAAATTCCACAATGATCTGGCCGCAAAAACCGAAACTCGAGGACCACATAGGCCGGGAAGAATAGATAGGCGCGAGACGGAAGAACAAATAATATATGTAACAATTCCAGCCAAGACATACGCGCCCAGACAGACGTGAGATTGTGTAGTGCCATGGGTACTCGATTGACATCTGGCTTTTGCTACCATGTCTGCAAATGTTTAGCTGCTCTGATCTTCCCAGAGCTCCTGGTTTGAACGTTTCGGATGGCATGGAATGTTGTGAGCTGTTACACCTGGGTCAATTGTGACAATGCCTAGTCGCATTAATCTTCACAAAGTGTTTCTATTCGAGAATGTGTTGATAAGATATACTTTGACGCGCTTGATCCTGATCGAATTCAGTTGCGCAGCAGGATTGCTCCGACTCTTTGTTTTCTTGTCATTTATTTGCAGAGGTTAATCACAAGCAAGTTTTTGGAGGAGAAAGCTATAGGCGACCAGGGACAGAAATTTCCAAATATCTCGAAGGGAGGGGCTAGAGCTGAAACTACAGCTCGTGGTTGGTTCTGCTACATGCAACCCCAAAGTGTAATTACCATGAGCTCTTTGTGAGAATGTTTCCTCTCAATGATCACTTCTCCCATTCTAGCCATTATCAGAGCAGATGTCAAATTATGGCCATCGACAATTCGATTCGATCACAATCTTGAGCTCGAAACTTAATGCATACCAGTGACTACTTCATTTAACAACGCTGCTATAGAAGAACTCTCAGATTATGAATGTTCATTGTCAAACTATAGTGAACGCGTACACTTGATTTGAAGAGAGGAAACTCGAGATGGATACCTAGACCCAGATCTTGTCACTTTCTTGCTAAAACCTCAATATATTGCTTTTTTTTTTTCGTTCTACACTTGCTTTGGGTTGACATGGGCACAAACAGCCATTGCGGGGTTCAGGGGTTCTTGTACTACGATGTCCAGCATGTATATATTTACAGATGACATTGGTGGTATCCCGCAACAACCGTAGAATATGTAGATATAAATATGTTCTTCAAATGAATCAGATATCAGATTCATGTCTTTCCAGTCAAAAAAGATGTAGGAACTCAGCCTTAGGGCAATGACTCAAAGATCTATGATTCATTCATCCCGAGATGCTTATCGATAAAGCTTCACTTAGACTTTACACACCGAACAGTCATCTCCCACTATATACTTAAGAACTACTAGTCTCCATCGATAACTCTTTTGTATTTAATTCACTAATATTCCAGATTCTCTTGTATATCCTAGGTACCTACTTCAAAGCAGTCTTTTATGATCCTACAAATATACTGCAAGTAAATTACGTTATTGCCACAACACTTTTTGGAAAGCAGACAAACAGAAATATGACTTCAAAAGGCAAACAGCTTCCACATGAGCGGCGGAAGGGCGAAACTGTATTATATCCTTTGGCAGAGTATATTCCATATTCCTAACAGACAATAGGCTCTGAGCGAGTTCGCGGAATACGTTGAAAAGCAACAAGCACTTCGATATCCCTCGTATTCCACTTCCAGTTCAACAACAGGTGGACCCTCAACCACCGCAACATCAGTTACTACCGTAGAAGATCATGCCGAACTCACAGATATCTTAAACTCTCTCGATATAGCGGATACCAGTCCCCAAGTACGAATAAAAGAACTACTGCTCTCGACCGACGAAGATCAATTAACGCTCCTCAAAAATATTCTGGAGTTGCGATTGGAGGAGGGGCATGGAGAGACTATTTTTGAGATTGGTTTTGAGAACAATGGTGATGCAATGGGATTCAATAAAGGGGAATGGGATCTTGCCTTGAAAAGACTAAAGGAAGCGGCAGGAAAGTTGAACAGTGATTGTCAGTTACTGTTAACGAATGGAGTGGGTGGCGAGGTGGAGGGTGAAACTGGAGAGTCGAAAGAGAAAGATTGTACAGGGAAAGTTCTAGTACGACAACATCCTGCCAGTGTGGAGGAAGTCATCGAGACAAGAATTGCTGTGGTGGGAAATGTCGACGCAGGAAAAAGTACCATGCTGGGTGTGTTGGTCAAAGGTGGGTTGGATGATGGAAGAGGAAAAGCAAGAGTGAATCTCTTTCGCCACAAGCACGAAATAGAGAGTGGAAGAACTAGTTCTGTTGGTATGGAAATCATGGGGTTTGATACTATGGGCAAAGTTGTCGCATCTGATGTTCCTGGTAGAAAACTATCATGGGAAGAGATTGGGAAACGATCCGCAAAAGTGATCTCCTTTACCGATTTGGCCGGGCATGAACGATATCTACGAACTACCGTGTTTGGGCTCTTATCTTCGTCTCCGAATTACTGTTTACTAATGGTCGCTGCAAATAATGGACTCATTGGTATGAGTAAAGAGCATCTTGGTATCGCTCTTGCGTTAAATGTACCAGTTATGGTTGTCATTACTAAAATCGATATCTGTCCTCCTCAAATTCTGGAACAAACCATCAAGCAAATTACCGGCATATTGAAAAGTCCTGGAGCCAGGAAGATACCAATCTTCATCAAGAATCGAGAAGAATGTATCAATACCGCAACTCAATTCGTTAGCAAACGGATTTGTCCAATCTTCCAGGTATCCAACGTCACTGGAGAATCCCTAGATCTCGTTCGAGCTTTCCTCAATATTCTACCTCATCATGGCCATTATGATGCCGAAGCACCTTTCGAATTCCATATTAACGATACTTTCTCGGTTCCATTCGTAGGCACTGTAGTATCAGGGATCGTAAAGTCTGGCGTTGTCCACGCAGGTGACACTGTACTCGTTGGACCTGACTCTCTTGGTCAATTCACAACGACAACCATTCGTTCCATCGAACGTAAACGAATACCAGTTCCAGCTACATCTGCTGGTCAATCGGCTTCGTTTGCATTAAAACGTGTTCGGAGAAAAGATGTTAGGAAAGGAATGGTTGTTCTTCCAAAACTCGAGCAGAATGCCCCTAAAGTTTACCGAGAATTTGTTGCGGAAGTTTTGATTCTTTCTCATGCCACCACTATCAAAACAAAATATCAAGCAATGTTACATGTTGGACCTGTCAGTCAGACGTGTGCTATCATTGATATTGATCGAAGTTATATTCGAACTGGTGATCGAGCAACAGTCGCGTTCCGATTTGTACAAAGACCGGAATACTTGGCTCCGGGTGACAGGCTGTTATTTAGGGAGGGGAGAACGAAAGGTTTGGGAATTGTGAAGAGTGTGGGTTATGATCCTGCAAAACCGTTGGGGGGTGTCAAACCTGAAGGAGATGGCACAGAAGCTGCAGAGACGAATACTCCTGCTGAGACTGCAAAGGCTCCTTGATAGGCTTGGAGAGCCGTGGAGATTACATATTAATGTTTCGTGTTTCATTTTATCATGGGGACAGCATCATAGCCGAAGGTGGTGGTGTACATGGGAGATGGGGTGGGTGGAGCCATTGATTGTTTCTTATGGGGTTATGAAATGAGTTTACGAGTTAATGCATACTGTTCATTACACAAATGGAATGGAAAAGTAGAGTTGGGGGTATAGAGTAACAGAATCAGGCCTACTCAAACCTTGGGGTCGAGGGTCTTTTAGATCTGTCAATCCCAAAGATCCTCCACATCTAGATCGAAGCTACCAAGGGGGATTCCCAAGCATCTGATATCTAATACTCCCTCTAAACTCGATCAAATCAAAGTAAACTCGCCATCCCCAATCTGTTGGAAAGCAGATAGCGGTACACCCAGTAAGTAAGCCAGCCACCATCCAACCCCTCTGTCCCTCTTAACCTGCATGACAACACGTGATCAAGGCTATGACGTCGATACCAATCCGGGGTACATAAGTTCAGGTTCGGTGGATTCAGGCACGTCATCAATAACTTTCTCCGATATCAAGGTCTGGAACCATTAATTAGTAATCACAAGTCAAGTCTCCAGATTTGCATTTGGAGAGAAATCTGGGTTATTTTTTTGATGGGGGGATGGATTGTAGATTGGCTTGTTAATTGGGTTGGTTAGTGTAAGGTTAATTGATTGATGCGTTTTACAATTGGAACTTGTGGCTGGGTGTTTGTTTGAATTTTGAATAGTGGGAGTGGGAGTGATTTTGAAATTTGGGATTTTCTGGGAAGAAGATGTAGAAGCAGAAGTAGAAGCAGAAGCAGGCAAGGTTAATAAAAGTGGTAGGTAGACTGGCTGGCAGAATTTATAACTTTTCTGGTGGGTTTTAGCCAACAGAGTTACCTACTACTAGTCACTACGTCAGTTTGAGGCGGTGACTAGATAATGGGTGGGTGGTACAATGACAATCCATGACAATAGATGGAATAAAGAGTGGGAATTTGGAAGCGTCTTTTTCTTGTTTCTGGTTTCTGGATTTGGGTGTATGGTTGCTTATATTAGGGGACGTGTACCCACCTACATTTCCTGATGTTGAAGAGATTATTTCTACATCATACAGATACCGATATAAATACAAATATACCTACCTACCTACCTACCTACCTACCCACCGATACATATAACAAATCGATCAAACGAGACAAACAACATCCCACTCAAGATCAAGCACCCAAACGCAAACATGGAAACTGTAAATAACATCGCCGCCGCCGCATCAAAGGTTATCTGGGGCGAACCTCAAGAAACAACCGATGCGGCAAAGGCAACGGTGGTGCCGGAGACGAAGGGGTCGGAACCAATTAGTGGGGAGCTGGGTGATACGAACAAGGGGGAGCCGTATGATTTGGGGAATGCGGGTATGTTTTTCTCTGTTTTTTTCCTGGCTTTGAACTCGGTGTTTTGGGGGGTGGATAAGGATAGGGACGAGGATAGGGATGAGGATGAGATGAGATGAAGATATATGGGAGATGAAGTGCAAGACGATGGGATCCATGATCAATAAACACATAAACCAATCCACTAACCAACCCATCACCAGATGCCACAAGCACCGAAAATACCCTTTCCTCCACCATCGACGGCACCACTTCCACATCCACATTCACACCCACCGACAGCACCACCCTTTCTCCCCCCGGCCTCGCCGCCAAACCTCTCGATTCCTCCTCCCCCTCTACCTCCACCACCACTTCCGTCTCCGCAACCCCCGACTCCGTATCCCGCACTCTGGCCGAAACACACATCGCGCCACTTTCCTCCCCTGATCCCTCTGCTTCCACCACCACCACCACTTCCGCTCCAATCAAAGTTACTTCTGAGAAACCTTTGATTTCGGAATACATCAATCCCAATTTCCCAGAAACATCTACATCTGCCGAGAAATCCCTCTCCCTCTCCACCTCCTCCGCCACCTCCGAAACCACACTCAAACCCACCGATCCTTCCACAGCAGGCGAACCCCCAAAACCAAGCAGCACAGCCAACGCCCAAGGAATCCCCACCGATCTACAACCGCTCCCCTCATCTGCAAACGCAGAGAAACAGGAGCGCGAAACCGAAAGCACAGGGACAGGCGAAAAACACATCAGGAGTTCCGGGCTCGTAGCCGAAGGAGGGGATTTCGATGCTGGGAGGTCTGGGGCGGGGAGGGAAGCGGATCGATTGTTGGGGGTGGAGGGGAAGAGTGCTGTTGGGGGAGGAAGTGGGGTAAGCGCAGTGAGTAGTGAAGAGGATCATGATCATGAAAATGGCGAGGGAAAGAAAGAGGGTAAATTGACGCATTTGAAGGAGAAGATTAAGGAGAAGTTGCATAAGCATTAGGAGCGTAGATAGATATTTGATAGGGGGTGATGAAGGTGGTGGTGAGAGTGATAGGGGTGAGGATGTCATTTATCTTTTTTGGGATTCGGAATTAGGGGTGAGGGTTTCGAGGCTTATTTCGTGACTTTTTTTTTTCCTTGGGAAATATGGATGATGAGATGTGTCATGAGATTTGTTATGAAATGAGATGAGATGAAATGATAATTTATGAATTCGAGTTAGTCACTGCGAGAATCAATTGGATTGTGATATGATTTGAGAAGTAGAAGGTGATGATATGATAGCAGGAAAGATATCACAACAATGTCATGGAAACTCTACAAACCATGCAGGATTCCATGAGACAAAATAAGAAACGCCACTGATCTATAGAACGAGTTCCATTTTTCTATCTAGCTATCTAGCTATCGAGCTACCTAGCATTCTAGTTCTAGTGTACACATGAAAGTCAACATAAACCACCATGAAACAAATCTCAAGCAACTCCATGTCATTTCCAGATTCACCCCAGAGCCATCATGAGTATTCTCAAAACTCGAACGCCAACTTTAGAAAAGCAGAAACATTCTAGCAATGTAAATAGAACTCTCCAAACCAACTGAAATAGAAACGGCAATATGCAATGATCCATCTCGAATGCCACCACGGAAACTTTAAAGACCTTCTAGAAAGTCAAAATCATCGTTACTGGATTTGAGCATGTCATTCTTGGAACCCGATGCAGTAGCAACCTCGTTGTTGTTGAAAGTAACTTCACCATTGCGAGAATCGACCTCGTTGCTGAAAGCACCATCGAGAAGAAGATCGTTGCTACTGTAAGTAACGCCATTTGTGTGAACCCCATTAGTGCGGTTAGAAGCTCCGTTGTGGATGGAAGCGGCCAAATCATCATTGCCATTGCGAAGAATGCCATTATTGCTGTAAGCTATGCCATGGCTACCTCCATTGACTTCGTTATTGCTGGGGAAAATCTCATCAAAGTTTTGAAACCCCTCATGACTGCTTCTTGGACTCTGATTTTCGCTGCGAGTGATTCCACTAGTGCCTACCATTCGAGGTATAACATTTTGAATCTTGGGACCAACAATTCTCTTTCCGTTCTCAACCCGAACTAGCTTATGAGTTTCTTCAAAGACCAAATCCCCAGAGTCTGGCTTATTTTCATTTGCGAGCTTTTCTCGCTCAAAACGCTCTTGATCAATGTTCTTATCTGAACAAACTGGGTCCCAAGTATCCCAAAGTTGACGGCCCTTTTCTGGTGACATGTCTCTCTTTGTGGGAGAGGATGCAAATGTATAAAGCGAATTTTGACTACCCAATTGACCCGATGAGAACTGTGTGTATGAATTGCTCTGCCCAATTGGCTGATCCAATTTCCAGGACTTTTGTAGAGAGCGTTCTTTCTGCTTGGAGGGAACAGTGTTCAACGCATTGGTTCCAATCTCATTTTCGACAGTAACCTTCTTGGGTGAAGTTGCTAGCTGAAGAGCCTTCATGCGATCCAATGTACGACATTCTTCGCATCTACAATTTTGACCACAATTGTTGCTGCAACCATGACCACAGTCAAGCAGCTTTCCACAAGGTTCTTTACAGATAACTTGATCATGAGGAGTCGGATGGCACTTATAAGGACATAAATGGCCACACGGCAACGTTCCACCACAAAACTCATGACAACCACCACTTAGATCTTCCCAATGTTCAGGCTCTGAGACATAAGAGTGATTCTCATGCTTAGAGCATAATATAGGCAGCTTGGAGCCAAATCTCTTCTCATCCAGTAGATGCAAAAGAATCGGCATCCAAAGCTTCTCTCGAGAGCCATTATCAGCTTCTTGCCCCGCCACAGTAAGTGCATTCCCAAAGATGTAGAGACCACGTTGTGCACGAGACAATGCAACAACCACACGATTCTTACTTCGTAAGAATCCTACCGAACTATGAGGATTACCTCTTACTAATGATAGCAAGATAACTTCATTTTCCTCGCCTTGATACGCGTCAACAGTATAAACCTTGAAGTATGGTGTTGCAACGCTTGTGACACGTCGACTAAGCTCCTTTAGGAGTAATTTTCGTTGACCATTATAGTACTATGAATCTATTAGCCAAGAATTGTAGGGAAGTTAGAATCAATCCATACTGTTAATACAGTAATTTTTTCTGGCTTGATACCATTAAGAACTAAGTAGTTGAAGAATCCAGCGACCATTTCAGCTTCCGGGGCATTGTAACAACTCATGTTGACATCTCTATGTTCTTGCCATTTGTGTGAGAAGAAGTATAAATCAAAATTCATGCCAGGAACTGGAGGACGATGATTAACTCGGTCTCGTACATTCTGGTGATCATGAAGATCGATATAGAACGGACTCGGTTCAATACACAAAAGCTCTCGAATCTCTGAAATCATACGACGTTGTTTGTTCAGCATTGTGTAAGCCATACCATTATTAACAAGTCGCTCAAACAAAGAGATTGACATGTAATATGGGTGTGACATGAAGCGGTCAAGTGTAGTATTTGCCGTCAATTGTCGATGATCTCCTACAAGTATCACTTGCTGAAGAGATGGAATGATACCTGCTGAGACATTTGCTTCTAGAGTTTCTGCAGCTTCTTCGATGAGTAGTACACTCGGATTTAAAGCAGAAAGTAGTCCCCTATATTTAGATAGACCAGTCGTCGTACACCCAATGACTCTTGTGTCTATGTTGTCGATAAAATCGGCATCACGTCTCCACTATTTTTATCAGCAAAGTCAATCATTTGTAAAAGAGTTAGCATACCTTTGCTATCTTTAAGTTATTCATCGAGGCTCTATAACTCTTGAATTCCTCACTGAGTTTATGGGTCAGTTGATCATAGTAGAGTTTTTCCCAGTGGCAATAGACCTGACCGCGATACTTGTCTGGAATGTCGAGAAGACTCCCAACTCTGGCGAGTATGTTCTTGGGAGAATTTTTGCCGATGGCTCGGGAACCAAAAGTTTTACCTGTATATGAACGACTGAATGGAACCCACTTCCCGTTTAGAGCATCCATGACATCATTCGCTTGGACTTCGACTTCGTTCTCTTGCAATTGATCAAACTCCTGGTCGGGGTCTTCTATCTCAAGATGCTTGTTAATCACTGGAGTTCTCGGCATGCGGACTTTCTGTGCTCCAAGCCCTACGACACTAGTAAGCAGAGTTAAGTAAACATGCCTGAGCTCTTGTATACGTACAAGATTCAATAGGATCGACGTTTTCATCTTGCGTGTCCGCCGAGTCGCACCAACCAGGCTCGAAAAAAGAATCAAAATGTTCTTGACTCATAACGCCAGACTCCAAAAGAACTCTAGCGGGTAAAATCCCGAAGCCAATGATGGGGAAAAGCATTAATTCAATAGAATCAATCAATTTGTTGTGTGCTTTGGAAGCTGATCCGACACCGCCATTGAATTGCTTAGTTTTCAGCTTTTTGTGCTCTTCACGGAGCTCATACAAAGTTCGTGCTATAATTGTCGGGTTTTTCTTGTCACATCTGCTCCCTAGACGCACAAAATTTTCCTCGAAACCAGCAATGTGAGTGAGTAATTGATCAAGAGCATGATTAGTCTGAGCTGCGACAATGATAGGTCCGTTACCCCTGTTGCACAACATGGCCTTGAGAGCTTGGACGGAAGTAAACGTCTTACCAGTACCCGGCGGGCCCTATCGACGAGGGTTGAATCAGTTCGGAGCTCCTTGCGCAAGCAAAATTGAAAACAGTGAAGAAGAATATCTCACCTGTACAATTGCTAAGCTTTGAGTGAGCATACGCTTACAAGCCGCGAGCTGGGAGTCATCCATGCCTGATTTTGGAAGAATCGGAAACTCCTTCAAAACATTAACATGGCACAGATTTTCGTCCTCTTCGTCGGTGAGTTCTGGAAGATGATCACCACTCGATAGGGCAATTGAACGAAGGTCGAGACAAGGTCTTTCCTTGATATGATCAGGTGGCAGAATATCTCTATCCATTTCAATCAGATACTTTTGGATATAGGGTCTATTCTCATTAGTGTCATATTTCTTTTTACTTCCTCAATCTTCATTCACGTACGAATATTCGGTGGCCAATTTTTGAAGTGCTACAAGCACATGACGGTATGCTTCAAAAAACCCCACTCGGGACTGAATCATAATATATGCTATAAAAGACATTAGTTTCTACTGAATGGTGCGGGCATTGTGTGACCAACACTCTGTTGGATTCAATATAATGTCTTTGTCATACCCAAAGAAGATATCAACTTGTGGAGGGTCACAGTCTAAGCCACCCTCTATGGGCCTAGCTGCGACAGTACCGACCTTACATATGGAACGAAACTTATCGCTAGTTGGGCTTAAACATAGGAGACTACCTTGTGTAAGTCTGCTCGACTGCTCCCACCGGATTCTTTTGCCTGCTTTGTCACTTGAGAATTCAATCCTGAACGCTGGACCGAGATGACTTAGTTGGAGACCAACGAGGTGGACCTATAACAATATTAGTAAGAACGTCTTTGGTAACTGTTATGTCACACCACATACGTCTGTATAGATAGAGGTGTCTTGTGTATCACTCATGTCACTGTTTTTCTTGAACTCAGCAACAGACTGACGAAGAGGAGCAACTGCATCTTCTCGTAAGATCTGATAATGAAAACCAAGGTATTCTTCCTTAGAGCTCCAAGCCCCATCGATATTGTTGTGTGGCAGGCGTGGATCAAATTCTTTCGGCTCCGCCAATCTTTGGTAATCCATTGGCTGCTCTATACCATCCTTGTCTTGCCATGATACATCCTCAAGAATTTCTTCACTAGTTGGAATTTCGGGAAGATTTCTCCAAGATTCGACGAATTTTATTCTCGCGTAAGGTTTCTGCACATGCTCTCGCAATACACAATCCGCAGAAGCTCTATTGTACACCATGGTCGCGGTTTCTTCTCTACAACCAGAAGTCAGTCCATATTCTTAAACCTTTTAGTTTC